CCCCAAGTGCTGCCACCCCCCAGGGTGCCCAGAAAATCCTTGAGGCGAATCCTCTTCTCCAAACACAGTTCTCCCAGTGCTCAGTGGGGGCTGGGGCTCCCCCAGGACACCGGGGCAGGAGGAACGAGGAGGGTATTCCATCAGACACCTCTCTGTAACAAAAAAAAATCATTAAAATAAACCATAATAACCCATTTTTTTTAATATAGGAGTGCTCCACCCCTGGGTCCTCAGGACTTTTCTTTCCTTTTAGGACTTTTCCTGGCCCTGAGGACTCTCCTTGTGCCCTGGCCCATCACCAGCATCAGGGTTCCCTCATATTTTTCTTCTGGGAGGGGAATGCTAAAAATCAGGAGCTGCTTCCCACCTCCCGCTCTGATAACCCAAATTCATCTCCATGATGGGATCTCCACTGAGAAAAAAAAGGAGAAAAAACTCCTAAACTCGCCTGGAAGGTGGCAAGAACATAATCCAAACTGGAGAAGGATCTCCTCCAGCTTTAAAAACCTGCAGGTGCTTCAGCTGTGACCTTCTGGAGGTTTTAAACTGCGAGAGGGTCGGCTGAGATGGGACATAAAGAATAAATTGTTTATGGTGAGGGTGGTGGGACAGTGGCCCAGGGTGCCCAGAGAAGCTGTGGATGCCCCATCCCTGGAGGGGTTCAAGGCCAGGCTGGATGAGGCTTTGGGCAACCTGGGCTGGTGGGAGGTGTCCCTGCCCATGGCAGGGGGTGGCACTGGATGGGCTTGAAGGTCCCTTCCAGCCCAAACCATTCTGTGATTCCGTGAGTCTACGAAATAACCTGAAATCTCCTCCAGCATCCAGGGGTGGACATCCCCCTGGGCCAGGGATGGAGGCATGAACCCGCAGCAGGTTGTCAATTTGAGACGGCTCCAAAATGTCTCTGTTGCTGCTGTTCCAGACCAAGCAGAGGGAAGGGGTCGGGTGGCTCTTGGAAGAGACCCAACGGGTGACAACATGGAGCCTGGACCGTGCGGAGCCGCTCTCTCCTCCAGCCAGAGCCCCCAGACCCCACGCACACCATCGCTTGCTGCTGGGAGCCCACGAGGACCGCTCCCTCCTGCGAGGGACCGGTGGGGATGGCAGGGCCACCATGAGCATCCACTGCGATAATCCCCGCAGCAGATCTGAGACCTGGCAACAAGCACGTGGATGTTTCATTCAGGGAGCAAAACCCCTTTTGGTTTTCTGGGTTTTGGTTTTTTTTCTTTTTTTGGGTTGAAATCCCAGCGGTCGCTGCTATGGTCACCACAGTTTCCAAAGCAGCAGCACGTGGTGGTCTGACCCTGAAGGATGAAACTTTTGCTTTTTATACAAAAATTAGGATATTTATATATATACGCACACACAGAATAAGCTTTTTTTTTTTTTTCTCTCTCCTTTTTTTTTTTTTTTTAAGAGTAGACCCGCAGAAAAATGTGAAATCATTTCCCTGCAGGTTCGGAAAAGCTTGTGCTTGTGGGGTTATGGGTTTGGGGTTGGTTTTTTTTTTGCAGATGAGATCCAGGATATCTTTTTCTTTTTTTTTTCTTTTTTTTTTTTTTAAAAAGGCTTTACTCCCTCAAGAAAAAAAAAAAAAAAGATTTACAAACAAAATAACAGCCTGTATCAACTCTCCAGAAGAGAGATGGTATGACAATATTAATCCAAACATCACGCTATTTAATTCCCCAATAAAACATTGGAAAAAAAGGAGCCAACAGTATCTGCACTAACACTTTGCTACATATAAAATCTCCAGCTAATATGAAGCTTATGGTACCAACCTCTAAAACAGTTAAGATATATACACATATTTTTTTTTTTTGGGGGGGGGGTATATTAACAAACAGAATATTACAAAATATTAAAGAAGGCAACTCTTCTTGTCATTTGTTTTCGGGGTGTGGATTTTTTTTTTGTTGGTTTTTTGTCTTCACTTGAAGTTGGCGTAGTCTGAGAAGGCGTCGATATATTCCTGCACCACCTTGTAGCAGAATTCGTACTGTTCCTGCGGGATTTGGGGAGAGCACGGTGTTAGAATGAGAAAATTCACACCTGAGACACAATTTGATGCTTCACGGCTAGCTAGGACCAAGCATGGGGAGATGTCCTCAGCCCAGACCAAGGGATGGAATCCCACCTCGTCTGTGCCCCCCCAAACCAGGCTGCCCACCTTCCTTACCGGGGTGCATCAGCAAAAGAAACTCTGCTTTCCCCTTCCTCTCTGAGCTCCTATTTTAGAATTTTTTTTCCTAAACCCCTGAGCATCCTTGCAAACCCCTCTTGCAAGACCTCTAGTCCTGCCCTCTCCTCCCCTCCTGGCCACACCACCAGCCCAAGCCTGTGCTCCAGGATAGGTTTCCAGGCTCCTGGAGCCCAAAAATACGTGGGCTGTGGCTGAGGATATCTCCAAGGAGGCTCCTACAGCTTCTCTCCGCGCTCAAAAGGCGTTTGATGCCTTCAGCCAGCCAAGCTCCACTTTCCAGATGTCCCACCAGGAGGAAGGGGAGATACCTCCTGACCCACCTCCATCCCTTACTCTTTCATGGAGGGAGAAAACCTTAAACCAAAGAAATTTTTGCTCAAAGTTGAGCCCCCAGCCCACTCTTGCTGAGGTTTGGGGGGGCAGGAGGAGCGTGGGGTGCGCTCAGCTGCGCTTACCAGTGTCTGCACCATATGCGGCCTCTGTAGTCTTAAACTCTTCACCGTCTGAAAGACATCGAGAATCCCTTCTGCCTTCACCCTTTCCAGGACAGTGCTCAGCGCACAGAAGGTGCCTGTTCTTCCTGCTCCGGCACTGGCAAAGAGGAAGCAGAAGGTGAAGGAAACCCGCCTGTCCTGACCGCGTGGGCTTTGCTCAGGGGACAATCCATAGGGGAACCACCGGAGAACCGGAGGAGCTGATGGTCCTGCCCCAGCATCTCCTAGTTTAGCTAGGACATGCTCTACAAAGCCTCTTTGCTTCGTTGAGTAGGAAAATCCCATACCACATCCACCCAGGCTGCTTCTGCTCAGCCCAGGTCTCCCGAGGGACCTTTGACCATCTCCAGAGCTTCCTGCGGAGCAGGTCCCCTTGGAGGGGTGGCCAAGCCCTGCTCCCCCCGGGCTTTACCTGCAGTGCACAGTGATGGGGTGGTTGCCAGACTGCTGCTGCTGCTTCTGCACAGCCGCGATGATGTTGATCATTCCCTTCCCATCCCCGGGGATCCCAACTTCTGGCCAGCCGTGGAAATGAAACTGCCGAATCTGTCGGCTCTTGTTTTCCTGGTGGAAGAAGAGCACAGCTGGAGGTCAGGAAGTTGGTGGGACATCTGGACTGAGAAACCCACCAGCTCAGGGGTTTGGGAAAACCATCCGGTTAGGAAAGCTGTCCGCTGGTGGAGGGGAGGCATTGCTGCAGCATGGGGGGGAACGGGAAGCAGGAAGGAGGCTGGGTGGTGGGCACAGGGACAAGGCAGGAGGAGGATGAGGGCTGCTGGGTGGCACCAGGACAGAGGGGCTGGATGAGAAGCCATCAGCAGGACAGGAACTCTCTAAGCGTAGGGAGGAAGGTGGGATTGCAGGGGATGGACACAGCTTTGGGATGACGGGGAGATGACTGAGCTGAAGATGCCAGAAGGAAGGTCCAGCACTTGCAAGAGGAACCGCAAAGCATCAGTGGGGGTCAAGGACACCCAAACCCCAGAGCTCCCCTCAGGGAGAAGGCCAGACTCTTACCCTGGTGTTCGTTACCAGCAGGTCCCGCACTGTGTAGCTCTCGCACTCCTCCTCTTTCTTCAGCTCCACAGTAATGTCTCCATAGGACACGGAGCCGTCAGATGGCCAGTACTGGGCACACTTCTCCTGAGAAAGCATCACAGGAGGAGACAGGGTGAAGACCCCATATTTTTCCCATGGGCTTGACTAGAAGAAGTCTTCTCCTGGGGCTGGAAGCTGCCCAAAGCCAGGTGGGATCCCATGGGCTTGCTGAACTGAACGTCCAGAGTTGGTTTATTGAACATCTCCCCACCCTGTGTCTACAAACAACTGTTTTTTTTGCCTTAGAAGCAGAGGCTGAAATATATTTCCTGCCAGAGAAGGGGTAAAATAGCACCCATTGCATGTGGCGGGGCCACCAGGAGGTTTTAGGGGGTCACACTGATTTATTTTGCTGCTGTTTAAACGCACTTATCCCCGGGCGCTTACCTGGCCTCTCTCCTCCAGCTCCGTTAGCATCACTATGGAGCAGGATTTCCACTCCCAGATCATCCTCCAGAAGTCCTCTATCGTGTGCTGCAGTGGTCCTTGGCTGGCGATGTAGGAGTCCTTCTGGCGATAACCCTGGAATTTGAAAACAGGGTTAGTGGTGAATCGGCAGCGCCTGGATGCTGGGAGCAGTGGGAGGAACGCTCTTGGACACGGTTGGGTTACCAAGCTCCGTTAAATTCTGGGAGCACGGTGACTGTGTGTGTGAATGACCACAGCCTGGGCAGAGAAACAGAATTACCACACCGCTGTTGGGCAGCTGAGGTGCCATCAACCAGCGCTGTAAGACCTTTGTTTTTAAAGGAATGCAGCTCAAGGAGGATCACGTCCTCTACACACACCCGGCCTTACCCATTTGGTGAAGAAAGATTTGGGTTTCTGGCACTTCCAATTGATGTTGCAAAGTCTGAATGCTGTAGCAGAGCCTTGCCTAAGCTCCAAGCACTTCAGGAGTGATTTTTCCTGGGGATTTGTGGAAGTAAGCAAAGCCAGATGGAACTGGATGATCTTTAGGGTCCCTTCCAACCCAACCCATTCTGTGATGTATGAAATCCAGCAGGAAGTCTGGCTGACTCTGGCTCTTCCACAACCACAAAGCGCTTCTGTTTCTGAAACCCTTCTGACGTCCCTCTGTGCCCTCGCTGCAGACTGTGACTAAAGACGTTTCATCATTTGGAGCTTGTCGTTTAAGCAAAGTTCAGCAGAGGGAGGAAATTGAATTCTCAACAAAAATTGCTTACGTGACATTTAAGCTTTCTGATCTCGCTGCAGAACAAGGCGGCTGCTCCCAGCTGCGTTGTGTCGGATGCTCACGCAGCCGGAGCAACCCACAGGGACCCGGCAAAGGAGATTTCAGGGAGCAATTAATTTGGGGATATTATAACCGGACATCTGCTGGTTTTAGTGGTTCAACCCATGGCAGTAATTGTCATTTGGGAAAAAAAAAAATCCCTGCCGTTAGGAGATGAAAATAGAAATTGGGCTAGAAAAGAGCAGGGCTCTGTCACTTAGCCAGCGCTGGCATCACTGCACAAAGACAAATACTCAGATGAGATGTCCCCCTGAAGTCAACAGGATTGCTCATGAGAAAAGGATGTGCAATCACTTACCTCCTCCTCCTCGGAGGAAAGCACTTAACCTCTCTACCTGGCCTCCTCCCGTCACCCAGACAGGTGTAATGGGATTGACCTGGATTTTCTCAAGGGTTTTGGGATGCGTGTATTGCTCCATTACCTAATCTAGGGGATGTTTTCTGACCAAATGAACAGTGCTGCAGAGCAATCATTTCCATGGCTACGTGCATCCGCTTCTCCAAAGCCATCATCAGAGCCTGGAGTTGCAGAAGTGATTATCAGGATTTGGAGACTCTGCTCAGGCTCCAGCTCTCTCCCACCATCCATGGGTCACAAGGAAACTGCACACACAGAGGGGTTTCTTGGAGAAAGAAACCAGCACCATGTGGTGACACAAAGCAAAGTCAAGTGGCAAGAGCCTCATGAAACCCAGAGGAGGAATGTTTTGGGACAAATCCTTTCCATGGGAAGCAGCATGAGGCAAAGAGTTTCCATTGGGAGAAGATGGAAAGAAGATTAAAGAAGACTCACATCAATGAAAGAAGCATTTACGTAGTCTGTGTTCTCTTCACCTCTCTTCACTGGAATGATTACTCGGTTGAACTCATCTGGAACAGAAGCAAAACGATGAGAGTTTTGGGGAACACTGGACCTGCCGGCAAAGCCAGGACACCATTGGTTGCCTTTGCCACAAGAGCACGTTGCTGGCTCATGGTCACCTTGGTGTCCACCAGGACCCCCAGGTCCTTTCCTGCCAAGCTGCTTTCCAGTTGGGTGGCCCCAGCACATACTGGTGCCTGGGGTTGTTCCTCCCCAGGGACAGAACTTTGCACTTGTTCTTGTTGAACTTCCTGAGGTTCCTCCTGGTGCATTTCTCTGGCTCCTGTCCCCACAACCACCCAAACAGTCCCCTCACCCACTGGGCACGCTTTCCCCAGGCAGACAAACAAAATCTTACATGGAATTATCTGAAGCACCCTGTTCTTCTTCATGTTTGCCGGCAAGTTGCCTGTTCTCATCTTGTCATTCTGAATTTTGATCGAAGTGAGCTTCTGCAGGGGAAGGAACGAAAGCAGAGACAGCTTTCAGAGCCACCCCGTGCCAGGGAAGCACACGGTGGTCCCGGCAGCCCAGCACCATCCGAGCAGATCCACCGGGACAAGAACCACGCTCACCTTGAACTCCTCTTCCAGCCCATTGCTGCTGGTCCCTGGCACTTTGTTGTAGATCTTCTGGAGGTGGATCTCTAATGAGGTCACCTCCAGCTCTGTGTCACCGTAGAGATAGTGCTCCAGAAGTGCTTGGTATATAAACACATACTGCATCTGCAAGGGTTGCGGGGAGAAGCCGTCAGCCTCCGCTCCACACTCAGCGAGCACATCCTGGTGTCCACACACATGCTGGCAGCAAACCCGCCACCCCACTGCCCACCCATGCTCGCTGGGCTTGTGGCACCCCTGCAAGACCCCCAAAAGTGGGTGACAACCTTTCTGCTGCTGTACGTGGACCAGGACCTTGTTTGCTACATGACACAAAGCTGACATGACACAAAACTTTCTCCCAGTCTGGAGAAGAGGAGGCTGAAAGGAGAGCTTATTGCTCTCCACAACTGCCTGAAAGGAGGGTGCAGCCAGGTGGGGAATGGTCTCTTCTCCCAAGTAACAAGTGACAGGATGAGAGGAAATGGCCTTAAGTTGCGCCAGCAGAGGTTTGGATTGGATATTGGGAAAAATTTATTCACCAAAAGGGTTGTCAAGCACTGGAACGGGCTGCCCAGGGCAGCAGTGGAGTCACCACCCCTGGAGGGATTTAAAAGACGTGTAGATGCGGTGCTTGGGGACATGGTTTGGTGGTGGATTATAGCAGTGTTAGGATTATGTTTGGACTCGATGATTAAAAGGGTCTTTTCAAACCTAAATGATTCTGTTATTCTATGAAAAGGATTAAAAAGAACAGGACCCAGTGAAAGGCTCGCTCGATGCAGCATCCTTCCAAAATCATAGACTCGCAGAACGGTTTGGGTTGGAAGGGACTTTAAAGACCATCGAATTCCACCCCCCCTGCCATGGGCAGGGACACCTCCCACTAGCCCAGGTTGCTCAAAGCCTCATCCAGCCTGGCCTTGAACCCCACCAATGTTCAACCCTCATGCAGGCTTTGCTGCAGGCTGGGAACTGACTGCACAAAGGAAATCTAACTCCAGCAAGCAAAGCCCAAAAGAAACCACAGCAGCACACTTACATCTGTCTGTACCATCTGGCAGCGCTGAGCCCGGATCCGGCTCACGAAACCGTAAACATCCACCTTCCTCTCCGCGTGCATCATGTCCAGCATGGCATCGATGACGATAAAAGTGCCCGTGCGTCCTACCCCGGCGCTGAAAGAGCAGAAGGGACAAGCGATCAGTGCAGCAGTGTCGGTGTTGGGGTCCCTTGTAGAGCAGCCAGGAGTGAGCCAGACACTTCCCAGCACTGAGTAAATAGCAAAATCTGTTTTGAGATGAGAGAGGTCCTCAGCCTGCTGTTCAGCATCGCCTGGGTTTTGCAGAGAGATGGACACAGCATGGGAAAGTTAAATAAAAATAATTTAAAAGGCTTAATAAAAAAAGTCCTTCTAGTATTAAATAGAAGATGATTTCCAAGCCACCCAGGAGAGGAAGTCAGCCGTGACCAGGATTTACCTGCAGTGCACTACGATTGCTCCTGCGTATTGCGGGTTACAGGTCTTCACCTTCTTCAAGAACTTCAGCATCCCGATTGGGGTGAAGGGGACCCCGAAGTCGGGCCAGCTGGTGAAGTGGAACTGTGTCACCAGGCGCTGAGGCTTCTTGTTCGTGACGTCGCCCACCTGGAGGGGAAACGTATTCAGGTTAATGAGAAACACGCAGATTTTGCTTCTTTCCCCAAAAGCAAGGGCAGAGAGGCAGCTACAGCCCCAAGACTGAGCTGGATGGCTTCAGAAGCACGAGCATCCACATGCCAAAAGGGCACAGACCCAGGCTCTGGGGCCGAATTAGTCTCTAACAGCGTGACATTTTCATCACCCAACATCACATCCTGCATCCTAGGGGTGAGAGATGCCAGCGTGGCCTCGGCTGTGGCTCCAACCTGTATTTCATTCTCAGGGAGCTCAAACACAAGCTGCTGCTCCATCCTCTGCCCACAGCATCCTCGTATTAAAGGCAGGGACAGAGCGACTAAAGCATCCAGAGCCTCCTCGGAGGACGAGAGAACGTAGTGACAGATGGGAAGCAATCAAAACCAACCCACACAGCATTGGATTGTGTCTTGGCTCATGGGAAAAATCTGGTTATTTGCAGGCATTAAGTATCTGTGGGTGAGAGCAGGAACTGATACTGGTAACAGCAACTGGACTGAATTTCAGCCCTGGCGTCCATCAGCTTCCCTACTCTCAGTACAGCCGTGCTGGTACCCGCTGGGAACGGGCTTCCAGGTGTTGGAGGTGAGTAAATTCTTAATAGTTCTGGTTAAAAATGGATGCTGAGGTCATTTCATTCCAACTCTGCTCTCCCAGCACCCTGGAAGTCGAGGAGCACACCAGCGCCTGTTGGATGCCTGGTGTGGAGAGGAGAGGGATGGGATAGGAGACGTGAGCCCCGGTACCTGCTGGATGCAGAACTTTCGCACGGTGTAATCCACCAGGACGGTCACGTCCTCCACGGACACTCGGATGTTCCCGTACGTCCAGCAGCCCTGATCCGGCCAGTACTGAGCACACTTACACTGCGGGGAGAGAAAACAGGCACAGGTGAGCTGTGGTCCCTCGCAAGCCTGGGACGGGCTGCAAGACATGGCCATGGGGCGCTTGGGCACAACCTCCACGTTTATTTGGATGAAGTTGGGTTAGATAGCAGCCCCAAAGCCTTCGGGCACCTACCTCTTTCCTCTCTTTCAGGTTGGTCACCATGACAATTGTCGCTGTGTTTTGCTCCCAAATCATCCTCCAAAAATCGTTCACGGTTTCTTCCTTTGGTCCTAAGGGGAAGGCAAAAAGAAACATTGTCTTTGGGATCAACCCCTCAAGCGTTGGGACCAAAACCATCCACGCATTGTGGATGATGCAACATATTTTTTACCAATAGATGTCAGCACAGGAGGTGTTTTGGTGTCTGGGAATGTTGGCTAAACCAAGGAACAATCCTATCACACAATAGCTGGGCTTTTGGGAAATGTTTTACAATGAGGAATTTCATTTTTAGCCCAAGAAGGGGAAATCGGACAAACGGAGCACGGAAACGACTTGCCCAAGGTCACCTAGGGAAATTGTGGCTGTCACAAGTAGCTCACAGATGTCCTGTCCGCAAGCTTTGTGCTTTAACTGTGGGATCCCATTACAGCACAAGAATAGTTACCTGCTGCCTGCCAGACAAGGAGCTGACTCAACCCAGACCTCCCCTGCCAAGCCTGAGGCTAAGGGCAAGCCAGGAGAGAAGCAGAACCAAAGCTTTACCCCAGCCTGGTACCACTGACGGACCTGATCCAGCCTTCCTTCTCCAGCAAGAGCCAGGCAAGCCGGCAGGAGATGCTGTAACCCCCTTTTGCTGACATGACTTCCCCTGTGAGTGGGCATCTTGGTTTTACGGACATGTTTGGACCAGTTACAAGGAAAGCAAGAGAGCTGGAGGGCTATGGATGCTGCATGCAAGCTGGTGATGCTCTGGCTGGGGGCAGCTGAGCCTGGGAAGACTTGTGATGCTTGCTGCTCTCAGTAGCTGCTAGTCCTGCCTCCCTTCTGAAGACCACAGGGAAATTTCTCTCCAAGGGCACAAGCCCATGTTCTTGTCTGATGAGGTTTAAAACGGAGCAGAAATGAAACCACATCGGCGTGGTGCTCTCTGTAACAGCAGATTTGGGGAATTTAATTGTGCAGCTGACTGGTAATATTTCCAGAGACACCAACCACCTGCGGCTGTGGGCCAGGGTGGAAGGACAAAGCTCAGGGAAGAAAGGCTTTGACACCCTCCAGCGATCGGTATTGCACAAGCAGGGCTTCTCTTCCTCACCCAACACATCCAGCACTGGTCTTTGTCTGGGAAAACCATTTTGGGACCAAACTGTGCACCAGTCAAGCCTCCTTTTCCTTCACCCAGCAGCAAGGCACTGTGGTTAGACTGGGACAGCTTTGCAGAGCAGAAAGACCCCAACCCAACTCCCACCAGACAGAGGTACAGGAATAACAAAGCATTTACCTTGTGCAGCAATGAACTTGTTTTTCTCTTGGTACCCCTAGAAAGAAAAGGAGAAAAAGGAAGACAGGTGAAAGATGAGAGTAACACATAACACAAGAATCATGAAGTGGATCTTCATCACTAATAAACAGAGACATCACCTGCTCTGTTGCTCACTCCCCCTGTGCAGAGGAGGGGCTGCAGCCTCCCAGGGGAGAAACAGCCCAAACAGTGGGGCAGAAATAATGGAAAACCCCTGTGCAAAGGGTCCCTGCCCCAGAGCAACACTCCTCATGCTCATGTTTGCAGGAATGACCCAACTTGTTGGCACAAAGCACTAATGAAGTCGTACCCAACAGCACTTCTGCTGTGATCAGCCCCTGCATCCAGAGCATCCCATGAAAATCAGGACTCATCTTCGGGAGATTGGGCTGTCGAACTCACGGGAATTGATTTTGTGTAGCTCCCAATGGATATATATTCATTGCTGAAGAAAGTAAAAAGCTCTTTTGGGTCTTGCTTTTTTTCACATGCCTCCATCTCTCTCAAAGTCTACTTTTTCATATTACTCTTCCAACTTATTTGAGCTATATGGTGATAACCATATAGGAACCATCTCCTCCTAGGAGCAGAGCAGGGCAATATTGCTTCTATTTGAGCTGGGTTCCTTGATTTCCTTTTCATCCCCTTCCCACGTCCAGCCCCGCAAGCTGGGAAGTACCGATGATTAACCAGCCACACCATTCATCAGCCGTTAATCAGAAATCCCCAATTCCCACAGGAACAGTTCCCAAACCCTTTCCAAACCATCTGGCTTGTCTTTGTAGCACCCTAAGGAGTGTTAGTGCTCCTCATTAGTTTAGAAGTGGGGAAAAGAGAGGTGGGAAGAGATGGGACTATGGTAAAGCAGCTGAGCAAGGGCAGAGCTACAAGTAGAATTTGAGTTCCAGCCTCAGCCTTACTCCAACCACGCTCATGTGGGCTCAAGGCACGGGAGGAACAGTTAGTTCTACCACGGCCACACAAAGGTTATGAGACCAAAACCAGCAGAATTTATTGCTCTGGAGAAGCTGGGGAGATGTTAATTTTAGAGGCAGTCTCCTAACCATCCTCTCCCAGGCACAAGTCACACCCCGTAAAAGCCCCTGGACCTCTGGTGGGACCACGCACCGCCGGCCGGGGAGCAGTCGGGGGGGATTTCCCCTTCAAATCACAAAACTCACATTAATGAAGGAGGCGTTGATGTAGTCGGAGTCAGGAACTCCCTCGACAGGAGTCAGGTGAACCCTGGAATGATCATCTGGAAGAAAATCAAAACTTTGCATTAAAACCAACTCCCTCCACGTAGCTGATAGCTGGCGTAGCGAGAAAGCCGGGTGCTGGAGCAGAGCCCGGGCTTGCTGGCTCCCCAGCACACACAGACAACTTTATGCCCCCAAATTCTTCTTCGTTAAGCCTGGAGAGGTGCTAGACTTCACCCAAGGAAGTTTTTCTTCTGCAGAGCACACACATTTGCGGAAGCTCCCGAGGCAGCCCACCTCCCCAGCAAGAGATGGCCATTTTGGCATTTCCCATCCATTTAATTTTCCATGGCCTCCCGGCTGCTGACGGCTCCAGGGAGCTCCTAAAGCTGAAGCAGATGCAGCCACGCATCTGGGAGGTGAAATGAGCTCAATCATGTCCTTGCTCATCCCAAAAACAGGAACAGAGAGCCCTGGCAGCAGCACCAGGCATGCCCCACCCTGCCCAACATGCTCCGATACCTACAGGGCAAAATGTTCACGTATCTGTTCTTCTCCTTGTTCTCCTCCTTGGAAGCAGCTTCACACGTGGCCTGGATGGGACACGCTGGGAGAGCCTGCAACGGCAGAAAAGGGGGTTTTCCATCGTGTTCTTACTCACGGCACAGCAGGAACCACAACGCAACCATCACATATCCGAGCACCCCATTGGAGGGTGGTCGCCCTTTGCTGGCCTCCAGAAGGTAGGTGAGCAGCAACTCCTTGTCCACCTGCCCCTTCGGATGTGTCCCCACCACTCACACCCCTCACCTCCACCCCAGCGCCAGCTCCTTGTCCCCACCAAGCTCAAGGTGACCATTTAAATGGCCTGGGCTGGACCAGAGAGAGCAAATCCCTTCCGAAATGTGACATCTGGAATCTCAGCACCCATGAACACGAGGTGGTAGCAAAGCCTCCAAGACCGAACCCACCAGCCCAGAGATCAAGGAGCTCATTTCTGCCCAGGGAGGCTCAGCTGTCCCTGTCACAGCGGCTTGGTTTCATGCTCAAGCAGAGGAGGTACGTCCCCAGCACCATTATTCCACATCCTCTTTGAACAGTGGAGAGGATGAGAACGTATCTGAGGTATTCGCCATCCCTTCCTCCAGCTGATGGGACAGACGTGCTTCGGCAACGGAAGTCTTCAGGGCAATGGAGTATTTATAACCTGAAAAATCCCGCTCCCTGGGCGTTCATTGCGCCTATTTTGTTTATCAAAGCGCGGCCAGGAAGGGTATCAAGTTGTGTAACAGCTGGAGAAAGTTGAGTGGCTTTTTTATATCTTGTAATCAGCCTCATAGTGCCATATTGCACCTCGGACCCAAGATTTTATGTATTTACAGATGACATCTTTGCAGCATGCGCAACCAGATCAAGAGTGGATTTTCTTTCTTTAATTAGGCTGATGGAGAGTCCAGGTAGTTCAGCAGCTCCTATGTTACACACTGTGATACTCCAGCCTGTTATCTAACTTCGTCCTCTACCTCAGTACTGCTCTGCCTACTTTTGTACCAAGTTTATTGTCACAAGAAGTTGCAGAGCTCAGTGATGTCAGGAAGAGGTTGTAGCCACCTCAGAAGAGACGCTCCAGCACTGTGGGATAAGCACAACAGCTGAATTATTACTTACTGCTGAAGGCCACCTGTTGTCCTGTAAATGGTCATCATTCTGCTTCAGGGTTAACAGCTCATTGAATTAGATGGGGTCATTTCAGTGTCTCTGTCTGAGCTCCTGTTTGAGCTGTTTGTGGATTTAAGCTATGAGGATTGGGAGGAGGGAGGCAGAGCTTGGGAAGAAAGCAGCAGGCAGGGAAGCTCGGGAAGACCCCAAGACATCCAGGACACTTCCTGAACCCAGAAAAACACAACCCCCTAGTGCCACTTTCTAGAAAACCTCTGCTTCCTATAGCGAATGTGAGGGCTGGCAGCTTGTCCACCATCACAGCAGATTTAGGACCAGAATCAGTCGTCCCACCTTGCAGCCCTTTGAGAAATCCCTGAGGACTGGACAGACCATCACTCCCTCTGTGAAGCTCCCAGATAAGCTCTTCTGAAGCACGCCATCTGGCACTAGTACCGTTAATTTTATTGACTCAGTTGCCCCCTGGGCTTATGTCCTATCCTCAAGTCAGGTACCAATGCAGCTCCTCTCTGATGTACTTGTCCTTGCTCTGCAAAGTGGGACCAGATTTTTCCCCACTGTGCATCGTAAGCCTGACGCTGGGAGCAGCCTGTGGGATTTTATGTCAAGAAGCAAAGGTACTCACATTGAACTCCTCCCGAAAGAGCTTGTTGTCATCTGCCATCCGGCGGTTGATCTCCTCTTCCAGCTTATCAACGGGCAGAGGAGGGTATTTACGGTTGGTGCTGGGGGAGCGGGCGAGCAGCGGCATGCTCTGAGGCTCTGCAATGACACCCACGCATCAGAGGTGCCCACCCAGACCCCATCCAACCTGGCCTCGAACACCTCCAGGCCTTTTGTTCTTCCTACAGAGAGTGCACAAAAATGTGGGGATGCTACAAGAACGTGAAACTCTTCCAGCACCATGTGGTTGGGTGTTACGCTGTCGTAGAGGCAGGACAGGGCAACGAGGACCGAGTCTGTCACCCCCTGCAATGCTACAGGCTCAGGGGA